TTTAAAGTAACCATCCCAACCCTGTATATTTTCCTGTATTATGGAAAGGTAAATATCAACATAGCTAGCATATTGTCAAGCAACCTGAACTCCAGGCAACTCCTGTCAGGAGACTTTTAAACAAGACTATGAACACTGCTCTACATATATCAACAACAACAATACTAATAAATAATAATAATAACAAATAAAAGCTACTTAAAAGACAAACCTTTCTTGTTGCGAGACAAATGAACAATGTGTCTGAGTAAAACGCCACCCCCCACAGTTGGGGGTATAGGTGCTGGTCTGTGAACAGTTTGTTGAATAAGTCACTATAAATTGTGTGACCCGATGAGGGAGCCAAGACCAGAATTTAAAGCTTTATTCATTCAGAGTGAGTTGTATAACAGCAGCTGTGCACATACTGTAATTCTAGCAATGATGTCTTTGAGAAGAGTTAAAGAGACAGGTATTGACTATGACAGGGTATTATATTTGTTTTAAAATTAAATGTTAAATAGTTTATTTTAGAAGGATTCATTAAAGAACACAAAGAAGGGCACTTCAAATAGATCTCGTGTTAAATGTAAGCAAAACCAGAAAGTCAATAAGTGTTATACAGGTATAAAAGTGCAGAAATTGTCATATAGCCTTAAGTAAAAGTGATTTTAGCGAGTCAGATAAAATCAATAATTTTAGTACAAACATAATTATTTGGAAAAATATTAATAGCAGTGATGTTGAGAGGAAATATGCCTACATTCCATTTACAGGTGTAAAAATAATAAAAACACATAGGCTATATTGTCTTAAAGAGAATAAACAGACTGGGACAAATATGTTATCCTGCTTAAATAGTTAAAATAGCCAGAACCACACAAACATACACACATAATCATTAATATACATCTGAAGCCCAATTAACCTGCACACAGAATGTCTTAGACTTCCTTCTCTGGACTGAAATATTCGTTGGTGTTGTTCACAATACATTAAAACAAATATGCAGGGCTCTGGTTTTTCGATCAATTAGAAAGCCACATTCTAAGCTTAGTAAATCAATGATGGCACAAGATAACACATGTTCAGTAGACATCACTGTGCATGGAGTGGACACTTTTGTCCCTAATACTTGAAAGACTTAATTTCCCTGATTCGGGGTACAATCACACTCGTCATACATGAGGCACTTACCAAGGTTAATTGTTGCCAGTGGTTTGTGTTCCTTATTTGTATATAATAAAAGGGAGTGGGTGAGAGAGAAACATAGTTAACTAGTTTCCTGGATACCAGGCCCGTCAGTATGGCTGCTCCTCCACTTACAGAGCATGGGAGTTATTGACACCACTTAAAAACCTCTTTGACAGGTCAGACTGCTTTGTTTGAGTTTCCCATTGTGCCATGCAAATAATTTGACACTTGAGCCACATACACATTGCCACTATTCACATTCTTGTGAAATGCAGCCATTAGCGTAGTAATGACAATACTGTTTGGGGATTATAGAGAGTGAGAATGGGTCTTAATACAATGACATTTGAGGAGTTGTGCTCAAACTATTAAAAAACTCAAAGATCTCTTTTCAGAAATGATGAAACGGTTGAGGTGAACTGCCCCTTTACATTGTGCTGAAACAATACCACCGCAACCTTCAATTGCTGTCTTTATACATTCACTTTGGACTATTT